TGGCCAGTCCACTTCTGACTCCAATGTCCACATCATTAATGAAGATGTTGAACAATATGGGTCCAAGGACAGCCTTGGGGGACCCCACTGATCACAGGGCACCATAACGATTGACTTCTATCTATTATCAGCCTCTGGGTCCGATCATGGAGCTAATTTTCCAGCCAGCAGATCATGGCGGACCCAAGGCCGTAGTTGGCCAGTTTCGCCAAGAGGTGATCATGGGATACCAGATCAAAGGCTTTTTTGAAGTCAAGATATATGACATCAATCTCTTCTCCCTTGTCCAGGTGATAGGTCACCTGGTCGTAGAAGGAAATGAGATTGGTCAAACAAGACCTACCCACAACAAACCCATGCTGGCTATCCCTCGGGATGTTGGCGTCGGCCATTCCATTAAGGATGGCCTCTTTAATGAGCTTTTCTAAGACCTTCCCTGGGATAGAGGTCAGGCTGATGGGCCTGTAGTTTGCCAGATCCACTTTCCTCCCTTTCTTGAAGATAGGCACCACATTGGCCTTCTTCCAGTCTTTGGGCGCTACACCAGAGCGCCAGGAGTTCTCAAAGATAGCCCAGCCCCTGGCACGGATGATGGTTGCCAGCTCCTTGAGTACCCTGGGGTGTAGATTGTCAGGGCCAGCTGACTTGAAGGTATCCAGCCTCTCAAGGTGTTCCTTCACAAGGTTAGCATTGATGGAGGGCAGGGGATCTCCCTCACCCGGTCCTCCCTGTCCTGTAGTGGGCATGGGTGTCCCATGGGACTGATGAAAGACCGACGCAAAGTTTTAATAGGTTAGCTTTTTCCTGGGCGTCAGTTGTCTGGTTTAGCTGGGGTCCAGTGTTGCCCTTGCTTTTCCTCCGGCTCCCCACGTATCTGAAGAAGGACTTTTTATTGTCCTTGGTACTCAAAGCTAGTCACAGTTCAGTTGCAGCCTTGGCTTTTCTGGTTTGTGCCCTGCAGGACCGGACCAGTGTAGAATATTCCTCCCTGGAGGTGAATCCCACCCTCCATCCTTTGTAGGCCTTTCTTCTTAGCCTCAGGAGGTCTGCTAGATCCCTGGAGATCCAGGGGGGCTGCTGTGCTCTCTTGCTTCCTTTCCTCCGAGATGGAATAGAATTAGCTTGTGCATTGAGGATCGTTCCCTTGAGGAGCAACCACTCTTCCTGAACTCCCCTCCCTCTGGGGTCATGGTCCCTTAGGGCCTCACTGACAAGTCTTCTGAGCAAGGACTTCAGTTTTGCTGACTGACTTGCCAGCTTTACGGTGGATGGTGAAGGTGATCAGCTTGTGGTCGCTGTCACCCAGCTTCCCAGCTTGTTCAGAGTGCCTGTTTTCCTGACATGAGTCCAGTACATGTTGAAGCTGTGTTATAAAGAAATGGTGCACAGTTCTAACAAGGCAACTGTTTAAAATGTCAAGCACTGAAAATAGTCTGATATTGGGCTGTTATTTTAGACTTTACAACTTATTTTAATTAGATGGCATTCTGTGGAGCCATCTAACCTGCCACAGAAGCTGAGATTTTCACCACTAATCTGTATTAAAAATGCCATTCAAAGGACAGTACACATATACAAGTTGGGGTAGCAGACACTTTAGAGGACATGATTAGAATTTAAAATGACTTTGATAAATTGGAAAAAGAGACTGAAATAACTAGTATAAAAATCACTAAAGACAAGTGCAAAGTACTATGCTTAGGAACTATCAAATGCATTGATGAGGCTTCATCTGAAGTACTGTGTTCTGTTTTGGACACTGCTCCTAAAGAAAGATGTGGACAGTTTGGAAAGGGTCCAGCAGAGAGCAAAAAAAATTGATTCAGAATCTAGAAAACATGGAATATGAGGAAAGATTGAAAGTGGGATTTAGTTTGGAGAAGATTAAACTGAGATGGGATTCCAAAAGTGAATTAAGTAATCATCACAAAGGTACCGGTCATAATGAATATCTATTTTGTAGTAGTTTTCCCAGATTATCTTTCCCTGGAATCAGGCTACTACTCTTCAGTGTGAGCTTGAAAAAGATACTACCATCACTAAAATATTTTTTCACAAAGGCTTTGTTGTTAATTTAAAAAACCTTGTAAACAGTGCCACAGCCTGGTTTTGCTCATGTCATCATGAATTAGATTTTGGAATTTTGTTTCCTAATATTTCCTAACACATGTTCCTAACTCTTACCTTTGCATAATTCAAGTTGCTAACAGTAAAATGAATATATTTTACTTTAGGATTTGGACTCATCTTCTAAAGGAAGTGGATGGGGAGCTTGGGGATCATGGGGCAAGTCTCTGCTATCATCAGCTTCTGCCACAGTTGGTAAGTGTTAAACCAGCAAAGGTTATGGCATCATTTGTAAGTATTTTAAAGTCATCATTTAAATGCAGACTGGCAGGGTTAAATGCTCGTAAAGATGGTAAGTAAAGTCAAAGTGGTTGCTTAGAGTTACAAGATTTAGAAACTGTCATTGCCTGACTTGAATGGCAAAACTATAGGATTGGTGTGATTTCTATAAGGGGAAAAGCCATCTTTGCAAACTGTTGAGCCACTTAGAAAAAAAATCAGTTGGAGGTTGAGTTACCTTTTCAGTTCAGGTTATGGGCATAGTGCAATACATGGCCAGTTTATCTTGCAGTGGTTCGGTTCAGAGACAATGATGGACCAGTTACTGCCAATAGAAGCTGAGGGCTTTTGTTTTTCTTATGAAGGATGCATGTTCTGGTCCTAACTTTTTTTGTGTACATGTAAGATTTATGTAGTAACTATGACTCGTATCTGCAAAGCATGGAGTTTCTTCTTATAAATCGTATCGGTTTTCACAGAAGGTCAGTACAGTCCTTAAACAGCCACATTAAGTGACTTCAGAGAGTATGAGAAGCTGCTGAATCATGTTAATATTTTTAAATCTCTTCTCACTTCCAAATTCAAATCTAGTCTAAGTTATTGGTGGCCAAAGCATGTTGTTTTATAAGTAAATGATATGGTATGAGTTTGTGGTTTCAGGTTAGCCGTATTACTATCATAATTTTCATTCTTCTTGGAGTCTTAGCAGGTTTACAGACTGAATGGGTTTGAAGATAGTATTGTCTTTTTGTGCCTCAAGGTGGTATCAGGGTTGTGGCAATTTGAGAGGAAAGTATTGCCTGTGAGTATTGCTCATGATGTTTGTGTGTTTAAAAGATAAGTAATTCTCCCAGATTGTCAGAGTGACATCTTTCACAATCACTGAATAGTACAATGTTAATTGTACATTACTATTTAAGAAACCACTCTGTTTTCCTTTGATTGTTATAATTTGTATATCCTGGATTCATATCTGTAGAAAAAAATCACTTAAAGCCCTGCATTTTTGAGAGAAACAGAGGGTTAAAAGGAACCTCAGACTAGTATAACTCTCCAGACAGATGCAGGATGTGCTATTTCTGAACCCAGGCTGTCCAACTTCTGAGTGGCTTGGGGCCACTAGTTCTCCAGCCACACACCACGTGGGTAGCTCACACTCAGAGCTGTATCCCATGCAGGCCGCATGCTGTGCTGTGCTGTACTGCACATGCCCCACCGCACTGCACAGCAGGGGTGTCCCCACTGTACAGGGATAGTACCCCTGCACCTCATCATGGCACACAGGGTCTCCCCAGCCACCTGGCCATAGGCTCCCTCAGCTCCACTGTCCCATTCTGCCCCCAAAGGGAGCAGAGGAATGAGGAACCTGCGGTTTGAAGGTGGCAGGGATTTGGGTGTGGGTAGCAGTGCCTGGGCTGGGAGCCTGAGGCCTCAGGTTAAGTCTGGGGACTGCATGAAGCCCAGGGGCCTCCAGTTGGACAGCCCAGTTCTAAACCAGTGTAGATAGATTATCTGAACCTGTCCTTGTTCATAACAAATCCGTGTTTGCTAGTAACCTCTGTTTTCTCTGTGTGTTTTACAAATTGATTGATTTATCATTTGTGCTAATAATTTTCTAGGTATTGAAGTTAGTCTGAACAGTCTGTAATTTCTGAAATTTCCTTTTTACTTTTATAAAGATGGGCACTATGTTAGCTCTTCTCCAGTCCTCTGGGACTTCACCTGTCATCTGCAGCTTTGCAAATATTATCACTAGGGACTCAAAAATTTCTTCAGTCAGTATCTCCAGTATCCTGGGATGAATTTCATAAGGCCCTGCCATCATAAATTAATTCAGTTTTGTCAAAAGCTCTCTGATGCGTTCTTTACTTACAATGATCTGCCATCCTTTCTTTTCTTTGTTTATTTTCTCGAGAAGGCCAAGGCAAAATAATCGTTGGGCAGTTCTGTTGTTTTTGTGTCTTCTGTTAATAGCTCATGGTCACTATTGAGTGGTGGACCGGCAGTTTTCCTGGCCTTTATGTGTATTTATAAGGCAACTTGTTGCTTTTACAACATATTTATAGAACTCTGTCTTGTCTTTAGTAGAGGGATCACTTCTTCTATCCAAGATATTGTCAGTCTTTGAATAAATGTAGTTTGATAAATAAAGTGAATGGGTGTGCACCGATAAAGATTTTTTGGCCGATACCAGTGGCTGATTATTAACCAGCCAC